AAATGCTTGCCTATCCATAAGCACTTTGCGACAAGCTCATAGTTTACACTTCATGTTGACAGACTGCAGCAATAAAAAGATTAAAGGATTTAACCGTAATGGAAAAGTCGATAGCAATAGAAAGTGGTGCAAAATTCTTTTCAATTCACCTTATTTCACTTTATATCCATCTATATTTTAAAATAAAATAGGTCTTGCTAACAAAGTTTTCAAATACTAATACATCTTTTTGTAATCATTCCTACCACATTCAAAACCAACTCCTGTTGTCAATCAAACAAGAAAGACATAAAAATGTGGCTGGCTTAGCTATTCAGCAACTCCAATGTCACCTATGAAGCATGTTATAAAGCTCTAGAAATCACCTAATTGCAGATGGACGTTGGCATTAGTGCTAAATTATCAATGCATGTGAGAGACACAGGATGGACATTATAAGGCAGTTAACCACCACATTACACATATCACATGGTGACTACCTGGTGATTACCGGGGTAACACACTGAGTCCATCTGCAGTAAATCAACCTCTGAAGCACTAACAAATGAACAAACACTGATTCTGAAGTGCGTCTCTCCTCCCTTTTTTTGAATAAAGCAGCTTTTTGAATCATCCAATTTTACCAGAGTTGAATGTTAAGCTATTTCAGCATTTGGTTCCAACAGCATGTTCCTTTATAATCAGCATTTTATTGAAAAAGTGTTGTTCACTAAAGTACATTACCCCCATCATTCCTATACCGGCCAACAGAATGATATATTTAACCAGATGAAACATGGTACCTACACAACCCAGTGAAACCATTTTAATTTGTTCTCTACTTTGATGTTGGCTAAAAAGATTGTTTTAGGAAGCGTATCAAATATTCCCTAGCAGTTCCCCTGTATGACAGCAGAACACTAGCAGCATAGAACTTTCGTTAAAGTAAGCAAACTGCTCTGAATCTTTGTATGCTATAAATTAAGAGAAAAGTTACAAAGATGACAGAAACAGAAGCATGTGAGAATCTATAGATGTTGGCTGGAACCTGATCAGGGTTAGGGTTTAGGGTTTAGGGTTAGGGTTAGGGTTAGGGTTAGG